CTTTAAAGTACAGACATTTATTTTCTTCAGTTCAGGAGGCTGGAAGTCCCATCCAGGGGCACTGCTCCCAAGAGCAATGCTTAACAAGCATTCTGAAGCCTGGGCTCCAGCTGAAAGTCAGTTACCCCGAGGACACAACCTGCAGCGCTCACCTCATACGATCTTCCACCACCTTTGATTGCCCACAGTTGGGGAAGCTGAAGCATGAGTGGGAGATGATATGGTGAGTTTGAAGGCTGTGAAAATAGCCTCATTCTCCAAATAGAGGCCCCAGCAGGGTCCTGCCCCTTGAGAGCAGCTGAACTCAATTCTGATGTCCATTGTGATTTCTGCACCTAAAGAGGTCACAGAGCAAATTCCTAAGAGAGGTCAAGATGGTATGAGCTCACCAGAGGTCCCTGAGCTCATCAAGAGTCCCAAAGAGGTTAGGAGAGAAGAGCTCATGCCCCTGAGAAGCAGGTAGGCTTCCCTCCCCAACAGAGTTCTGAATCTGGGCATCTCTGCCTTGAGATGGGAGGAAGATAAAGATAGGATGCTGCTCGTAGTCAGCGGTTGAGAAAAAGACAGGGATATGAAGCAATCTCAGAAGATGCTCTCTCTCTAGACTCTGGATCAATCTAGCTACTCTTTCCTCTTTTATTTTGTCTCTTCTTGTTTGTTACTGACTAAAAGTCAGAGTAAGAGGGAAATAGGATAAAACTTATCATCTTGGCTGAAATGTAGAACCCAATTGAAGAAGTGGTTCATGTTAAAGGTCAACTTTAAATGAATTGGGAAATGAGAGAAGAGATCTGGCTACGGGAAGTGAACACCAACCAGTACGCTGGATGCCGACTTTCCCCCTCTGTCCCACCTCATTCAGGTATGTAGTCCAGCCTTTTGGATGTGAAGGTATCTGAGTATTGTAAACTATTTGCTCTTGATCAACAACAGAAGGATCGGTGGTTTGGATGCACACAGCAGTTCCATTCAGCATGCCAATCTCTAGCCTAAAGTCCGTTCCCAGAGAGGCCAACCTATAAGAACCAAGAAAAGTCTGTGGAGCTGAGTTGGGAAGCACAAGGGATAAAGTTGACGTTGACATGATGGCCAAAAAACAAAACAAAACAAAACAAAAACTCACTGCCGTCGGGTCAATGTCAACTCATAGCAACCCTGTAGGACAGGACAGAGCTGCCCCTGTGAGTTTCCAAAACGCTAACTCTTGGCAGGGGTGGAAAGCCCCATCTTTCTCCTTTGATGGCAACAGGCTTGTTTTTGTTTGTTTGTTTAATTTTGCTTCGACAGTTCCAAGCGTGATATGGGCTCAGTTTGTCACCACGCTCAGCTTAACATTTAAATCTACATTTTAGTCTCATGTCCATCCTCCTTGATGATGGCCAGGACAGGCCACTATCCCCTAGCTCCTGAGGAAGCAGAACGCCAATAAATAGGCAATAGGAACTCAGTAAAAGAAGCAAAAACAATCATCCCAACCACCCACACACCAGACTTTAAGAGCCATACCTTCAGAGTCTCCTTTCCAAAACTCCTCTCCATTTTCCCAAGTGTTCAGCATCGATGAGGCATGGGAG